AGCGGCGCTCAGCGGCTAGAGTGCGACGCGCTGCGCGTGCAGATCAAGGAGCAGGCCGGTAAGGGCCCTGTAGAATCCTAGGTTTAGGGGTTTAGGGGTTTAGAGGTTCAGGGTTTAGGGTTTTTGGGGTTTTGGGGGTTTAGGGATAGGGTTTAGGGTTTCCGAGGTAGTGTTAGGGAGACCCCCTAAAGGGGACCTTCTTAACGCTACTTCTGGCTCTCTCTTCAAAGGGACCTTATCGAGAGGGTCTATATCCCCAAAGTTCACACTAATCCTAACTCTAAAAGAGTTGTATAAGGGTTCCTTGAGATGTCCCTGCAAGGGAAGGGGGTCTATAAGATTTCCTTTAGATGTCCCTTTCATGGTTGCAGAAGGGTTTAGGGAAGGTGTCTCTAGATGTCCGTTTATACCACCTCACCCCCTAAACATACGCATCCCCAAACCACCTCAGCTCCTTCATAAACGCTTGAGCAAAAACCGACATTTTAAACATAAGGACACAAAGATTCACAAACGTGTAAGCCCCCCAAAACTGTGATAGACATGTACACAGCCACCTCAAAAACCTTCGAACAAACGGATAAAGCGCCACAAGATCGTTGGAACACTGTGTCAAAACCCGGCGCAACGTTTTGATGGGCCTGTCAAGGCCTTCTGAAGCCGATATGAAACTCCTTGACCAGCTTGTAAGCCGCATCAAGGCTTTCATAAAACACGACTGCAAACTTATGAAACATCACTATGAAGCCAGCAATTAATAGACAGCAAAATAGATGACTCACAGCTCACATCCACATTCGGAACCGAGCCCTAAACCCTAAACCCTGAGCCCTCAGCGACAGCTACACCCTGACCCCAAACCTTGAACCTTAAAGGACCACCAAGAAACCAAACCTTAAACACTAGAACTCTTAGGGAACCCGTAATGAGCCCTTGAAGCAACCCTTACAGGAAGCCCACAGACGAACAAAAAACCCTCCCAGGGAACCTTGGAGAAACCGCTAAGGGAATCCTTAAAGGACACCCCAAAACGAGCCCTAAACCCTGAGCCCTAAATAAACCCCCGAAACCCCAAACCCTAGAACCTTTGAAGGAACTCTAGGAAACCCAAATCCTCCTTCAAGGACCCACAAACCCTAAACCTTCAAAGTCCGCTAAAAGTCTAAACGGAACCCTAAACCCCTAACCCTAAACCCTAAACCACAGACCCTAAACCCTAAACCCTTAAAGGAGCCCTTAACGGAGCCCTTAAAGGAGCCCTTAAAGGAGCCCTTAAAGGAGCCCTTAAAGGAACCCTTAAAGGAGCCCTTAAAAGGACTAAAGACGCCGCTGAGGACGCCGAGCTCCGAGCTGCGAAGCAGCGCGAGGAGGAGCTCCGGCGGGAGCTCGAGGCCGGGCTCGGTCCCTTCGGTTTCGGGATAGCGTTGAAGGTCCAGGGGTCAGGGTTTAGGAAGTACCTTGACCCTAAGGAACCTACCTTTTTCAGGGTTCCCTAATATGATTTCTTTATATAAGTCCTTGAAAAAGTCGGTTACGTGGGGTTAAGGAGAGGGAAGCCCTGAAAGTTTTTTCGGGATCTTTCGGGGCTTCGGGATTCTTTAAGGGTTTAGGGTTTAGGGTTCCTTTGGGGTAAGGGTTTCTTTAAGGGTTCCTTTATTAAGGGATTTGGGATCCTCTAAGGCAGCCCTTAAAGGAGGCCTTAAAGGGATCCTTTGAGGGATCCTTTAGGGCTTAGGGTTTAGGGATCTATGTATGAGGGTTCTATAAGGGGGAGTTTAGGTTACTTGAAGGATTCTCTAAAGGAAGCCCTTAAAGCGCTTTTGGGATCCTTTAAGTATTCAGGGGTTTAGGATCTGGGGTTCCTTTAAGGGTTTCTTTTAGGGATCCTGTAAGGGGCTCTAGGAGGGTTCCTTTCAGGGAACCTGTAAAGGAACCCTTAAAGAAGCCCTTATGGGTTCCTTTGGGGCTTTGGGATCCTCTAAGGGTTTAGGGTTGAGGGTTTAGGGCGTAAGGTGTAAGGTTTAGGGCTCCTCTAAGGGAAGCCCTTAAAACGGTTTCGGGATCTTCGGGACCCCCTAAAGTTTAGGGTTTAGGGTTCCTTTAAGGGTTTCTTTAAGGGTTCCTCTAAGGGAACCCTTAAAAGGAACCTTTAAATGAGCCCTTAAGCGCTCCTCTAAGGGCTCTAGGAGGGTTCCTTTCAGGGAACCTGTAATGGAACCCTTAAAGGAGCCCTTAAGGGATCCTTAAGGGGTTTAGGGTTCCTTTAACGGTTAAGGGTTTAGGGTGTAGGTTTAGGGTTGAAGGGTTTAGGGTTAAGATCCGCGGAAGGACGAGGTCGGAGGCCTCAAATAGAATGGCAAGTGCCAAACTCGCGCTGGACATGCGCATCCTCATGCTGAAGGCATCCTTCGTGGAGTTGTCCGACCCGGTGGCCCAGGACTCGGACGTCGTTCGGACGTCGTTCCATGGTCGCCAGCTCGGACATCCGGTTCCAATCCAAATTGCAAACGTTGGCAAAGGCACGCGTACAGCAGGCTGTCCTGCGCAACTGGGCCGTCGCTGAAAGACCCGGAACCGTAAACTCTGAACACGCAACTCCACCCCTTGCCCCATCTTTCAACATGCACAGTTGACTGTGTGGGGTTTAGGGGGCATAACGAGCCCGACCCGAACCCGAACCGCAACCCGCTCCTCATCCTGAAAATCGCGTCGAACCCGAACCCAAAACAAATCGGAACTTCCCCCCTCCAAAAAACAAAGCTTTCCTACCTCGGAACCGCGGAACTCCGACCCTTCCTCCCCCCCAACCCCCCAAGAATCCCAGCCTCTCGAACCCCACAACCCCCCAAACCCCGGACCGCCCTCCATCCTTCAAAATTGCGTCGAACCCGAACCCAAACCGGAACCCCCCCCCCCCCCCTCCGGAACCACAACCCCCCCCATCCTAAACAGAAGCACGCCTTAGAAATGCTAAGGGTTTCAGAGGTGCTGGATTTGAAACCCCGCACAAAAAAAAAGCGGGAGCAGGCAAACCTGAAGCCGACCGGGCAGGCCATAGACGGCACCAAGCACTTGATGCTGGTGAAGTTTGGGCCTGTGTGCTGGTACCTTTCAAAAGAACGGACGAGAAGTTCGCAGGGTACCAGAACTGCCGGTCAAAGCGCACAGAGAAGCGCGGGAAGGAGTACGGAAGGTACTACTTGCACCGGCAGGAGGACGCTGTAGGCGAAGATACACTGTACCAGTGTCGGTGCAAGTATCTTCCCGCTTAAGCCAGCCCTTTGGCGGGTGGACGAATTGGTCCTCAAGGGACGGCTTCGTTGAAAATGATCATCGAGGCTCGATGCATGGGCTTTGCGCTTTAGCAACTTGAGGTCACGTAAAACTCCGAAGCCTGACCACAGACTTTTTTGTGTTGTCTAGTATTTATAGTCACTGCGAATCTGCACTGTCAACAGGAGCGCGCCCACCAGCGAGGGCAGCCTGAGAGCAGACAAATTCCGCTTGGATTGGGTTGTTCAAAATTTTGCTGTGCCCCTGCAAGATCGCAGCTAAGCTTTGAAGCTCTTGTGCCCAAGACTCGTTGTGGTCTGTCGCCGGAAGAAAAACATGTAATGTTCAGGCAGGTGGTTTCTGAGTAATTTTTTGCGGTCTACTCTCGCACTCTCATGACGCCGCTGTTGCGATGACGCTCTCGGGTCGTAGTGTCCCTGCTCTTGCGCTCCGACCCCTCCTTGCTTCCCACCTCCCCGATCGAGCCATGCCTACCGCACGCACGCCTGCGACTGCAGAATGTCCGGGACGACGATGCCCAAACCGCTGCCTTCCGGGCTTGTCAGGCGGGTCCAGCTTCGCTCCGTCATGGGTGTCAACACCTTGGCCGTTTGTTGGGAATGGGCCTTCTGAAAGCTCTGCTGGCAACAGTCACCGGATTCGTGCCGGAGGATCGCATTGAGCTCATACCCAGCATGATTATTCCTTCCTCTCTCTGGGTGCCGCTCTGCGAACTCATCCGGTGTCACACGTGTTGTTTCCGTGGCTTTGCGCTCAATGTTCGAGCGCCCATGAAAGGACGAGATGGAACATCATGACCAGCTGGTGGCTACACTACCCCAGGACGGCGACGAGAAGGCACTTGAAGCCAGGCAACGACGTGAACGCGCGTGGGTGGCGGCTCCCTCAAGGCAAAATCGCAGTCGCTCTGCGGAGGTCCGTGTGGAGCCTGTTTGCGCCGCTCCTCGCCTGGTTTTTCCATCGACAGAGCTGCGCCGGCCAAACTCTGGGACGGCGGGACAAGGTATGGCCGGTCATGCACGAGCTTTTGAGGTGGCAAACCCTTGGCTTGGAGGTCTATGTGGGGGGCATGTGCCGGGGCTCTTCCGTGCCGGTCTTGGGCCATCCGTTGTGGTTGCAAATCTCCGAGATCAGGGCTGCGTGCGAACAGCTCCCAGTCCCTTTCTCCGAAACGGGCACTTTCTAGCCGGCTTCTGCTTCGCTGTTCTCCGCTGGTCCGTCAAACGACACGGCATGGTGTTCATGCGAGTAGAACCGGAGGCGCCAACTGCTGCAGATATGGATGCAAGAAAGTAGCTGGGTGCTGCAACCCGCGAGGTTGGTGAAGGTCGAGACGTTCCAGCAGCTAACGGGGTGCTAAACTCGGCGATAAGAAGTTTGCAAGTGGAACACCTAGGATCTCATCTCGCATTAGGCCCGACGCACTCGCGGTGTCCACGAAGGCAGCCGCCGGTGCGATGCGCTGCTGGGCGACCACGAGGCTAGATTGCATAGCGCAGAAGCGCTTCTGCTGCTACTGCAACGCTTGAGGTTGCTGTGTCCGTGACCGTCCTGCCGGAGGGCAACTGCCAGCTGGCTCGGGAGCTGGACAGGTCCTTGCTGTGTTATGACTTCGGCAAGCGGCGGCACAAACCCGAGCACCTGAAAGCAATGGTAGCCGGCAGTTTCTCGGCCCATGTTGCAAAAGCGTGCATGTGTCTCGTGAGGTTTGTCTCTTGCGCAAAGGTTGGCCATCCGAGATCTCAGTGCTGCTTGGCAAAGAGGATGGGCACATGTACTACTCAGACGTGTCCATCCTCGCATCTCCCACTGCCTCGTGGCTCCCCCGCACCGTGGAGAACCTGGAGCAGGCCTACTCGAGGTTGCAGCTTCTCGTGACGCCTACGCGCTTCAAGGCCGGCTGTTGGGACCGCACATTTCTCAGATGATGTCACGTACCCTCAACGTCATAAACTGCTTCTGCTGTTTTCCTTTGCTCATGAGCCAACGCGAGGCGCGTCAAACCACTCGGCACAGACTCGACTAAACACCTAAACCTTTAAACTTTAAACCACTAAACCCCTGAACCTCTTAACCATTTTACAGCGCTTAAACCTCTAAACCCCTAAACACTTAAACCCCGGACTCCTAAACCCCTGAGCCTCTAAAACCCTAAACCCTGAATCTCTGAATCTCTGAACGCTGGGATCCCCCCACGAGGATTCAGGGGTCCTTTATAAACATGGTGTTTCCTTTTTAATTCCTATAGCCGTAATTTTTTGATAGGAGTCCAATTGCAATTAAGATCCCTTTTAGGGTACTTAAAAGTCTACTTACTACCTGCCTTACCAAATCCCCCGAATCTCCAAGCAGGAGCTGAGGGCGGAGCGGCGCGGCCTGCTCAATAGCGCCAGCGAGGCACAGCCCGTCGAGCCTCATGCGCTTCTATTGTGTGTGCTGCTATTGCAACGGCAAACCAGTACTAATAACACCAGAAGGAATAAGATTCAGAATAGTAAGAAGAAGAACAATGAGAAGAACAAGAACAATATCACGAATAGGAGTGGCAATGTTCAAGAAGAACACAAATCCTAATGCCAATAACAATAATAGCTACCAGTATTAATCTAGTATCCATACTGATAATGATGCTAAACTAATACTGCTGCTGATACTAGTCGTAGTACTGGTACTAGTACTGATACTAAGTCCACTACTACTACTACTACTACTACTACTACTACCACTTCCGTTGCTACTCTTACTGCTACTACTACTACTACTACTACTACTACTACTACTACTACTACTACTACTACTACTAGTACTACTACTTCTCCCACTACCACTACTACTGCTACTAGTACTAGTACTACCACTACTACTACGACGACGACTACTATTACTACGACTGCTACAACTACTATTACTACTATGAATTCTAATGGTCTTGACAGTAGTCCTACTACGAATATGGTAAACAAGCATGACAGAACCAATGCCGATAACCGCAACTAAGAATGGTAATTCGGATGGTAATTAATAAAACAACAAGATGTATGAGAGCGGTACTGGCGGTACTACAAAGAGTCATTACAACATGCTTATGACAACGATTGCTCATAATGTTTTTATTCTGGTAGCAATGATCGAAGTCTGATGTTGGCAATAGCAATGGCAACTGCATTCTTCAACAACAGTAGTAGCAACATCCGCTCTGTTTACTTGGCGGTCTAGGGTTGGGTGTCGCTTTAAGGTATGGGCGTGGGATTCAGGGCTATTTCAATGTATTCAACCGCCGGGGGATGTGCCCTAACCCTTAAGCCCTTGAATACTAAACCCTGAACTGGCAGCTTAGCGGCCCATCCCTCAACGATATGGGAGTTTCAGACAGCTGGGTTTTTTTGCTCAGGTGTTTTAATCCCTAATCCTAAAAAAGCCGTCGCCCTTCCCACTTCACAGGGTTCGACAGACGGGTCCCCTCGTTTCTGTGGAAATTCTGTAGTGTCGGCAGATGGTGGGTTTCTTCTATACAGTTTAAGGTTTGTGGCCTGACTGTTCGAGAAGTGTTTTGGGGTCACACGGTGCCAGAAAAGCCATCCAGATTGGATTTCCGTAACGAAACCCAATCAGCGCTAATTTAGGGGCATTGAGAATTGAATAGGATTTCACATAGGGGTGGGAATAAATAGCTGCATATGTATAGTATTGTGGAGACCCCAAAGCTTGTTCAAGTCATTAGGGCTCCTATATCACGCACTAAAGGCAGATGAGTACAGACGCCACCGTTGAAGCTTCTTGACAGAACCTCTGTAGGAGATTGTAGGAGCCTTTATCGAAGACTGCAAACGCTACATCCTAAACCCGAAGCCCCAGCCGCGAGTCCTTGACTTCTAAATCGTAGTCCCCCGGCTGCGCGCCGCAGACGGGAAACCTTGAACCGCTTCGCCGGAAGTCCCCAAAACCCGTGAGACCGCCCTCCTCAAGTCGATGCTATAAAGGCTCTCTGATATCAGTAGCCCAAATATAAACCAATCATAAACACCAATAAGAATGAGCTCCATACAGCCAACCCGCAGCCTTAACCCCCAACCCCAAAACCCTAAACCCTAAACCCTAAACCCTAAACCTCAAAACCCTAAACCTCAAAACCCTAAACTCTCAAACCCTAACCTCAAACAACTAGGATGCCCAGTAGTACCCTTATTCCCTTTTTGTAGTCCTAGGTTCCTTATAAAGTTACCCAGCACCAAAAAGAGAGGCCTTTTTATTCTTAGGTTACTGGGTATCCTAGTCAAACAACCTCCATTACAAAAGTCAGCTCCGGCTTTGGTGCCATGGCCTCTTTGCGACTGCATCTTGCGGCTTCGGGAGCTCTGCAGCGCGGATTCGGTTTAGGGTTTAGGGTCTAGGGTTTAGGGTTTAGGGGGATTGAAATGCTTGGGGTTTCGGGGGGTTGGGGGTTTTCGAGGCTTAAGGAGTAGGGGTTTCGGGGTCTAGGGGTTTCGGGTTTCGGGGTTGAAGCAGTTCGAGTTGAGGGAATCAGGGGTTAGGGGTTTAGGGATTTAGGGTTTAGGGTTTAGGGGTGTAGGGGTTCAGGGGAGTCGGGTTCTGGGTTTAGGGGTTTAGGAGTGTAGGTTTTAGGGTTTAGGGTTTTACGTTCCAGGTTTTAGAGTTTGGGGCTTTGGGGTTTAGTGTCCAGGGGTTAGGTTGTACATGTAAGGTTACAATTCGGATAACATTGCTTAGGGCACAAGTAATCCCAATTATGACCCTACTTGCTAAGTCCGTGTGCACTTAAGTAGGCTTTAGGGGGTTCGAGGGTTTAGGGGGGTTTAGAGTCTAGCATCTAGGCTGTTTGGGGTTTAGGGGGTTAGGGTCGAGGGGCCTGGGGGGTTCTAGAGGTTGGGGCCTGCAGTGGTTTAGGGTTTGGGCGTGCTTTAAAGTTTAGGGCTTTAGGTTTAGCGTTTAGGGGTTTAGGGTTTAGGGTTTAGTATACTGCATAAGGGCCATAGACGGCTTGGGGCTTACTCACAGGAACGGAAGCGCCAACGCGAAGCAGTCGGAGTCCAAGAGGGCTGTCGATTTGATTGCTGTCAGAACACGTGGCAGCATGCATAAATTCGCGGAAAGGCGAGCCAGTTTCAGGCAATGAACTCAGGGCCAGCCTCGTTTCCTAGAATCTGTTGATACAGCCTACATAGTCCAAGTTCTGTGCAGGATTCAGATCGGGAAGAGAAAGAGAAAGCTGCTCCGGCAAGGGCTCCCGCGCGCGGAATAATAGATCCTGGTCTTCTGAAGTTGAACTCAGCCACCCGAGGGCAAACAGACAGGAAAGCCCCCGGCAGCGGCCCCAAACATACCCAGTCCTGCGAAACTCCTTTTCTTAATTGTGAGTTCGGGAAGCCCGTGGCTTCACAAGGAGCTCTTGAGTCTTGGGATGTTACCTGAGGCCCTCAACCCCGGAACCTAAACCCCAAACCAAACCCTAGGACCCTACCGTCATTTTTTTCGATGTTCTTCGACGGGTCCTCAAACCCGAAAACATCGACGGCCTTCGTAGTTCGGGTCTGGGGTTTCGGGTTTTAGGTTTAGGGCCGAGGGCTTAGGGCGAGGGTCTGGGGTTTAAGGTATTGGTTTAGGGTGTAGGCTTTAGGGTTTAGGGTTTATAGTTCTCCAATACACAACCTTTAAGCTATCCAGGCTCTGATAGTTTAGCACGTGATAACCTGAAACTTAACCCTTCTATTTCTATGCCTTGTTGGGGAACCAAGGCCTTTCTGATGAGACGAGGGTTTTAGGTTGCATTAAGGAAACCATTCAAGAACAAGCTAGGCCATCGTTACTGATGTAGGAGCCTGATTAAGAAACCCTGGGGCCTGTAGCCCCAAAATAGTAGGATTCATATAGCGAACCCTAATGAAGGCTCAAGGTTGCTTAATAAGGTTCCTACATTAGCACAGTTCCTTGGGTTACTGGTTGTGAATTTGCTAGACTGTGCACTCTATCCTCCGAACCCTGAACCTAAACGCTAAGCTCTAGACTCTAAACCCCGCGAATCGAACAGTTCTCTCTAAACCCCAATATCGGACACGTAACTCTGAACCCCATATGCACTGACACGAATATCGACACACCCGAAACACTACGTTGAGCTATGGATTTAGGGCTGAGGGCGGAGGATCCCAAAATCTGGTGAACTTCCCCTTACCCCTAAACTAGGACCTGGAGTAGGACTAGAAGGGTAGTATAAGGGTTCCGTTAAAGGGTTACTATCGGGTTCTATCATAGAATCTAGGACGCAGAGTAAGCCCCTATTCCCCTTTTTTAGGGTTCAGGTTCCCTGATAAGCCCCTTCAGGCCAAAAAGGGCACCCTTCCTAAGCTACTCTGGCGTCTAGTAAAGTCCCTAAACCCTAAACCCTAAACATTAGGACCTGACCCTTACTCCTAAAGGTATGCTTCACACTCCTGGGTGCTTTCGGGAGCTTCAACGCCATCGGGACACTGCTGGACGGAGCAGATCGGCTTTCAACATCCCCTTGTGGTTTAAAGTTTGCCTAGCCAACTCAAGGCTTTAGGGTTTAGGGATTTAGGGGTTCAGGTTTAGGGCTTGGGGTTTGTGGTGTAGGGTTTAGGGTCATTTATGGTTGGCCCTGGCGTCCTAAACTTCGACACCAAGCCGTCAATTTTAGGCTCTCATTTGGGATCCAATTTAACTCTAAACCCGAATCCCTAAACCGCAAGCCCCTAAACCCACAACCCTAAAAACCCTAAACCCCAAACCCTAAACCGAAAACCCCCAAATCACAGGCAAACTTCCGAACCTGTTGCAGCTCACGTGGGCCCAAAGAGTTTAGAGCTGAGTGCTTGCCTTGGGTTTAGTTAGGGCTTTCGGGTTGACGTGTTTTAGGGGTTTAGGGTTTCGGGGTTTAGGGTCTAGGGGTTTG